AAAAATTGCGAATTGAATAGCTCTTTCCTCCTTTTTATTGGTGCATTATAATTATATGTAACAGTGGGATTTGTTGCCATTGATTAGAATTTTAAAGCAACGCACAACACGTGATGAAAATTAAATTTAAATTAAATTAAATCCTCCCTTTGCAAGGCTGGAAAATATCTTAAAAACGTAGCCAGGAGGACTCAGGCAGAGATGGGAGCCCAGGAAACCTCCTTCTCTAAACCAGCCTCAATTGAGAAAGCCTGGTGCTAGACAAGAAGTGCATCTTTGCTCTTCTCCAGGCGCCTGGCTGCCAGCGGTGCAGAAGCAATCCTACTCTGTGCGCATGCTCTCCACAGCGTGGCCAGCCGGGTGCGGCCCAGAGGTTCTAAGACTACTTCCCAGGCCCCGCCCTTTTCTCGAATCAAGGAGAAGCCTGGTGCGAGCTCGCGTGGGTGCGTGCGTGGAGCTCCGCCCCCAGCTCCCGCCTCGGATTCACGCCCGACCTTCGCCCCTCCCCCAACACCTCTGCCCAGCGCTCTCTTCCCAGGCTCGGCCCTGCGCTGCGCAGTCCCGGGGCCCGAGCAGCAGCGCGTGCGCACGTCGGCTCGCGCCCGCGCCGACGCGAGGAGACCCCGCCTTGTCGCCCCGCCTCCGCCGGCCTGCGGGCCTGCCCTCCTGCTACCCTCTGGGCGCCGAGAACCCGGCATCCGCGCGCGCTCCGCACCCATGGAGATCCCCGGGAGTCTGTGCAAGAAAGTCAAGCTGAGCAATAACGCGCAGAACTGGGTGAGTGGGCGCAGAGGGCAAGAGGGCCAGGAGCAGATGCCCATCTAGAGACCTTTGGCTGTTCCTTCGGAGCCGCTGCCTCCCTCCGGTCTCCTCTGCATCCTCCCGGGAGCGTGGCGTGGCGGGGCGGGGGGGATGGGGTGGAGTAGGTAGCCCGGTTGCGGCGTCTTGAGGCTAGAGTGTTTGGTGGCTCCGAGACGCAGTGTGGCGGCGCAGGTGGAGGTCTCGGGCGGGGTGCTGCGGTCGGTCGGATCTACATCTGTGGGAAGAACGCCCCCTTCTCCAGCGCCCAGGCTCCGAGAAGGCATCGGGACCGTTCTTTGCAACGGAGCTGGCGACTGCTAAAACCTGGGACCCCGGCGAGGGAGCTGCCTTCTTCCCCTGAGAGGCTCGAGGTCTGCAGAGGAGGCTGAGGCAGGCGCCTTGAGCGCGTTCCTGCGGGTTTTGGCTCAGGTTTGGGTCGTTTCAGTTCTGAGTTTCACTGTGAAAGGAGAGTACCCAACAATGTGGCCATTCATGAATCGAGACTGCCCTGAACTGAGCTTCTTTGTGTCTCTGCTTTAAATAGAAATTATGACAAAGAAAACATAGTTTAAGGGCTGAATTCCTGGTGACAGTTAGGTGTGGGAAGACTAATGGTTTTATAACGTTTAGCAACGACTGCCAGTTGGCCTTACTGGTCAGATGCTGTGTCCTCAGAAGTTTGTTTCCTTCCGTAATTATTCTTTGTAAGGAAGAGCTAATATTGTAAGTGCGGGGGATGGGGATGGTCCAACTTTTGGAGTCTGGAAAGAACACTGGTTTTAAGTTCGATGGAAATTTTTATTTCACAGATTAACAGAATCATGAGGTTTAAATGCAGTCTTGCAAATCATCACTTGCCCTTGGTGAGTCAAAGGAAAAAAAAAAGAAGCTATTTCAGGCGAATGTTCTTTCAAAGTCATTAATTTACCATATCTGTTGCTATGTTCAAGGGTTCATGCAGGCTTTCTTGGAAAGAACACTAGACTCTTGAACTGGCCTCCAGTCCCAGCTTTGCCATTTACTAGTTGTGTAATCTTGAGGAAAATTACTCTAGTTTGAACCACAGATGAGTTAAGGGTGTAATAGGGTGTCCTTCACAGGATTGTTTGTATGAGCAGAAAAGATAATGGATTTGAAAATACAGGAAACTATGGCCTTGATATTCAGACTGGGTTTTGGTTCTGTGACTTTGAGATATTTCATGATTAGGGAAATAAGGTTGGCTAGATTGGGGTATTTGCAGATAATTTCACTTACACTGTTTGCAACTCATTTATTATCCCATTTGCCAAATTAATGTGTATCCTGTGTACAGAAGTGTACTAGACGAGGAGATGAAAAAGGTGGACTTAGTGTCTTTTCCAAGGTGATGGATATGTATTTATGAAAGACAGTGAATGGCAAGACATGGAGGATTTATTGCAATTTAGGGGAGAGATTAGTTAGGCCTGGATGTTTTTGGGAGAGCTCAGATTTCTGAGGCACAGGGGAGCTGTGCTAATAAATGCTTAGAGTAAGAATTACTTGACAGATAAGACTTGTGGGGAGTTTTTGTTAGGAAGTGAAGATAAGATTAAATAGGTAGGGTGAGGCTGGGTTATTCAGCTATAAATTTGGCCACAGAGCTAGTACTTGATTCTGTGGGAAATTTTTTTCTTTTCTTTCTTTTTTTTTTTTGTTGTGGTGCTGGATATTGGACTCAGTATATCCTAAATGCTAGGCAAGTGCTCTACCACTCAGTTACATCCTCAGCCTCTGTGGCAGATTTTTGATGGGGCTAGATTTTTAATTTTCTGACCCTTGTTAAGTCTTTTTATTTTCTTCCCAATAGAAGGTGCACCTCTCACATATATCTACTGATAGATGCAAGTGTGAAGAAGCCACATACCTTTAACAGTCTCATTATAGGATAAAATTGGTGATCCAGGAAGATGGGTCTGCTGAAGACATGTGTACACTGTTAGAACTTGGACATGAAAGACCAGAAATGTTATGGGGAGGGTTAAATGAATTAATAGATTTGAGGGATGTCAGGCACCTGAACACTATTTAAGGTGGTCTTTTTATCGTTCTAGATTGATCCAGTGTGAACAGGTGAAGGAAGGCTGACATTGTGAAGAGAAGAGCAGGCGCATGAACAGCTTGTGAGGAAGAGTAGGGAAAACCTGACTAAATTCAGTGGATGAAAATGGAGGAAATGTTAAAAGATGGTCCCACAGTTTGGGTCCTAGGAAGTGGAGAGAAATGTTGAATGTTTTGTGTAAATTAACTCATTGAATTTTCGCAACATTTTCTGAGGGGAGGAGGTATCATGAGACAGGGATTAAAAGCAGGGGACCTAGAGCTAGCTGACTGAACAAGAATCTGGGCTCAACTGTTTATTCCCATATGAACCTTGACTGATTATTGCAATTAGTATCTAATTGATGAAGAAACTGAGGCGTAGAGATGTAATAGAGCTCAATTTGTGGATCGAGTTTTAAGCATGCTGCATTGAGAGACAGATAGTCCATAGAGCATATCAGTCCAGTAAAAATATGAGTCATGTAAGTAACTAAAATTTTTATAGAATCCACATTAAGAAGAAACAGGTGAAATAAATTTCAGTAATATTTAGACAAATATCCAAAATTCTATCATTTCAATGTAAATGTTTTTCTATATAAGCTCAATATTTATAGTAAATATAAAATTACTAGTTTTACCTCTGTACTTGCATATTGGGAGATATTTTATACTAACATGTGTTTCAGTTCATACTGGTGATACTTGAACTCCTCAGGAGGGATGTGTAGACATCACAGTTGTAGAGATTTAGTTAGTAAAATAAAGCTTTGATGGTTAGATTTGGATAGAGAATATAGAGTTGATGTGAGACCAAACACTAAGCTTTGGGTAATTTCTCCTGTTATGGATCAAGTAAAGGAAGTGAATTCATGGAGAAAATAGGCAGGAGATAGGAAAATACAGTGTTGTGGCACTGGGAAATGTTTCGTTTAGTTTTACAGAATGATGTCTCCATATATTTACGAGAATAGCAAAGCAAAATCAAAAGTCTCCTTGGTCTTGGAACGTCCTTTCACGGCAGTCTGACAAAATATCAGGTGTAATGAATATCATTCTCTGACTGGCTTCCAGTGGGACCAGTTTTCATCTGCCTATAGTGATGTGTTAGTTGGGCTGAGAGAAATTTGGGGTATTTGGTGTCAATTTTCTGAAAGAAAATTGGAGACTCAGGTGTCATTCACCCATTTTATGTATGGTCACATTGAGCTGAGTTCCCTACTTGAACTAGCCTTATGGTGGAGTTGTGTCCTACTCCTCTCAGAAGAGTCTGAAATCCAGTGTGACTTTCAGAAGCATGTGTAATCTTACTCTGGTTTGTTTTTCCATTAACGCCTGTCCCGCTCCTGTTTTAATAGTGCAGCCCAACTTTCCTTCCATACTTTACACTCAGATGGTTTTATATTACCCTTCCTTCTGCCTGGGATATCCATGACCCTTTATTATCAGCTGAAATCTTGAGAGCCTTGGGCGATTATTACCTAACTGTATGAAATATGTGACCCATGACATTCACTTGCTCATGATCTGAATTGCTGTGCACTCTCTCTGTTACCATGAATGTGTAATCATATTTCACTACAGGTATTTTACATCTATACTGAGCATCTCTTGATCTAATAGGAAAGGAATAGGGGCAGGATATAGAGTAACTAAGGTGCTTCTGATATTAAAAATTCTTAGACTTAAGTAAGGGAACAAAACTGCACATGTGGTAGGATTACACTTATAGTTTGGTCACTTAGCACCTGGGTGATATTGGACATGTTCCCTTAAGCCTGCTGTGCTTCAGTATCCTCATTGGTGATGTCAGGGATTATACTTTATAGTGTGGCTAATCATGCATACCTCATAGGGCTACAGGGAGGTTTAATAAGTTAATATATTTAAAACCCTGTGGTTTCTGGCACATGTGTCACATATTGTTATTTATTAAATCATTAAATATTTAACCCCTTCTTTGTGTGGACCTTTGTTCCACATACTGGGGGTGCAGTGGTAGAAAGACTTAGAAAAAGGTCCTGCTCTCATGGGTATTGCATTCTGCTGGAGAGAGAGTTAATGAAACAAATAAGATAATTCTTCCTTGTACCAATTATATCTTTCCCAAACATTTTGTCCCCTTATACTGTTAGATGCCCTTCATAGAAGGCCAGCAGCCCTTTCTAAAGTTTGGAAAAGACTGAGATGGTACAAAAATGAAACAAGAATGTGGAGGTGGAACATAAAAAACTTGGCCAATCTTACCCTAAAAGCCTGGTACCAATCTTACCCTGAAAGCCTGGGAGGTGATTTTACAAAAATTGCCTGAAGGAAAGAAAAAGCTGAGATTCTACCAAGAATATACTTTTAAAATTGATTAATGCTAGGGTCTGAATACATGTCCCCCAGAGGCAAGTGTGTTCAAGGGTTGGTCACCAGCCTGTGTTACTAATGGGAGGCCATAGAACCTTTGGGACTTGTTTGTCTAGTGGGAGGAGATCAGATTTTGGGGGGTGTGCCCTTTGTTTTAGTCAGCTTTTTCGTCACTGACTAAAAGACCTGACAAGAATAATGTAGAGGAAGTAAATTTTATTTTGGCTCACGGTTTCAGAGGTCTTAATCCATAGATGGCCATCTTCATATCTCTTGGCCCAAGGTGAAGCAGAACATCATGGTGGAAGGACATGGTGGGGGAAGACACCTCAAGACATGGTGTCAGGAAGCAGAGAGCTCTGCTTACCATCGGAAAACTGTAAACCCCAAAGGTATGCCCCTGGTGACCCACATCCTCCAGCCACACCCTACCTACCTATAGTTACTACCTAGTTAATACATATTAGTGGATTAATACACTGATTAGGTCAAAGCGCTCACAATCTAATTGTTTGAATTCTGATCCATGCATTGTCTCACATGTGAGCTTTCGGGAG